TCATCTGAGACCTCTTCCACCATCCATAAATAAGTTTATGGAGCTCATCCCAAACTTCATCTCCACCATATTTAAAAAGTTCAGCCTGGATTCCGTCTATGCCTGGCGCCTTATAATTCTTCAGACTCTGCACAATTTCCATTATTTCCTCTTTGTCGTGGGGGACGTCGTCATCGGCCAGTTCCTCAGGGTCAAGTTCTACTTCTATTTCATTAGGCCTTTCAGCGTTTTCTGTTCTGCCCCGGTTAAGCAGCTTCCGGAAATGCTCCGCCCATCTGCCAATAACTGCTTCCTTGCCAACCACAAGGTTTCCCTCCTTGTCTTTAGCAAAATTAAGACGAGGTTTATATCCATCCTTAACTTCTCTTACACCTCTGAAGAAACTCCTGGAGTCCTGTACATTGAAGCTCTCTTGTATTGCCTCTAATTTTCTCTTGTCAGACAACCTTTTCTTCTGACGGCATGACTTTTTGGCTTCTTTTCTCTTTTCTTTGAATTCTTGGGCAGCAGATCTGGTAAGTCGAAGCATTCTCCTCCTTGCTTGATTTCTTGCATCTACCTGGTTCTTGCATTCTTCATCATACCAGTCATTTCTAGCTGGTTTTTGAACTTCACCAAGCTCTTCTGCCGCTGCGGTTGCAAGGGCTTCTTTCATCTTTGTCCACCTTGAGTCGATATTAAGTACTTCCTGGTGATTGGTGAGCTTCTCAGTAACATTGGTTACAAACCTCTGTCTCATGTTTTCTCCTTTAAGGCGCTCAACAGCAAATCGTGGCGCAAGTTTCTCAGCTGTTCCCCTGGTTCTTAACGCAATCTTTTGTCGGTATTTCACCCTCACCAAATGATGGTCTGAACCACAGACAGCCCCACAAAAACTTCTCACATCCGCTATGTCCGTTGCGTGTCTTGCCTGGATTAGCACATGATCAATCTGGTTGTGTGTTTGCCCATCTGGAGATACCCTAGTCTCCTTGTGTATGTTCTTATGAGGGAAGTAAGTACTGTTGACTGACATGTTCCTTTCCATAGCGAAGTCCACTATTCTGAACCCATTGTCATTGGTTTCCTCATGCTTACTGTGGGGTCCTATGGTGGGTCTAAAGAAATCTTCCTTGCCTATTTTTGCATTAAGATCGCCCAATATTATCTTCACATCATGGCCAGGCATCAAGTCGTAGGTTCTCTCCAAGGCTTCGTAAAAAGCGTCTTTTGTCTCTTCATCGCCATCTTCTATTGGGGCATGTGCGCCTCAATACCCATGCCCCTCTCAAAACCTCTACATTTCGTCACCGCCCTGCTCCTTGGATGTGTCAAGAAATTAAAGACGCTGCTCGTAGACGCTTCAGACGTACTAGGCTTGCTGATGACTACCAAGCATTCAGGGTGCTTCGCAACTTGACACAGGCAAGGATCCGGCGTGCGAAATCCCTCTACTTCCACAAAGCCCTTTCCACGACAATAACTTTTATTTTTCCGACATTTCCCCTACAGATCTTTTAACCGCTGTAATGAAATCCCACACCAATTCCATAGGACCTGATGGCATCCCTGTCAAATTAATAAAATTATGTCTTCCTGAAATCCTCCCAGTTCTCCTTTTCATCTACAATTTCTCCCTTCAGAATTCAGTATTCCCTACATTTTGGAAAAAAGCCATTGTCCTTCCTTTGAATAAAAATTCTAATCCGACCTCACCCGAAGATTTCCGTCCAATCTCAATTCTTTCCAACCTCTCAAAACCCCTAGAAAGATTGGTGCAATCCCAAGTCTCCAACTTCCTTGAAAAGTCCAACCAACTTGATCATCTCCAATCTGGTTTCCGTCCCAGCTACTCCACACAATCCGCCTTAATTAAAATCACCAGCGACATTCAATCTGCAATAGATGATAAAAAGTTAACTATCCTTATCCTTCTCGACTTCTCCAAAACCTTCGATTCCATTAACCATTCCATCCTTTTCAACAAACTGAAATTATTATCCTTCTCCAATAGTTCCATCTCTTGGTTTCAAATCTTTCCTTTCACAACGTACCCAAGCAGTCTCCATACCCAACCAACCACTATCTACCTTCCTTTCTTTATCCTCTGGAGTTGCCCAGGGTTCAAGCATATCTCCTCTCCTTTTCAGCTTCTACATTAACGACCTATCTAAATCAATTCTTCATTGTTCCCACCACCTTTATGCAGACGATTCACAGATGTAATTATCATTTTCTCCTCCTGAGTTGATTAAGGTTAAATGCTGCCAAAACTCAGGCCATTGTCATTGCTTCCAAGCCCCTTCTTAGATCCCAGACAGACTTTCCCATCCTTCACCTTAATGACCAGCCAATCTTCTTCTACTCCTCTGTTAAAAATTTAGGATTTTTCATTGATCAAAACCTCTTTTGGAATCACCATATTTCTCATATCTCTCGGCGGACAATTTCCACACTCAAACTATTCCATCGCTTACGCCATCTCCTACCTCAACATACGCTAGACTCCTAGTTTCCTCTCTCATTTTCCCCCACTTTGACTATAGCTGTGTGGTATATGATGGCCTCTCTGTGGAGCTCTGCGATAGACTGAAAAGACTAATGAACAGCTGTGTAAGATTTGTGATCGGGGCTCCAAGATACTCCCATGTTTCTCACCACTACGCTGAGCTAAAGTGGCTTTTCCCCTCCTTCTGAAGAAAATATTTCCTAGGTACGTTCCTCTACCAAATCATCAACAACCATCGTCCTTCTTACGCCTACAACTTTCTCCAGTTCAAATCCTCAGTCCATTCCCTGTCCACAAGATCTCGACGTTCTAACCTTTACATGCCTTCTCACAGATCTGCTTCATTCCAAAATTCCTTTATTGTTCGCTCTGTCAATTTCTGGAATTCCCTCCCTATCAAAATTCGACATTCCCCATCCATATCCACATTCAAAACCCTTCTATTCCAATTCCTATCCCAAAAACAGTCAGATAGTTGCTAACCATTCGAGCTGATTTTAATAGAGAATTTGATATATTTTTATTTTTTAATTCTTTATTATTTTCTTAAGAGTGTATACTGGTCTATCAGCGCAAATAGCTTTAAGTGTCTTGTCATAGTATTAATTGTTTTGTATATAGTTTCGTTTGTTTTGTATATAGAATGTTGACCTTATATTTACTTTACATTATTTATTTTTTTCGATTGATTTTATTTTGGCCAGATGTAATCTTTTTATTTTGTTCTATTTTGTTATTCTCAAGGGACTGTGTCCCAGAATAAAATTATTTTTCTATTCTATTCTATCTGCAAAGTAGACTAATTCAAATATTTTATCTATTCCATGCTATTTATTTCATAAGTTGTTAATTATCTTATTATTTCAACAAATACTAATGTTAGATTTTTACCCATTAACATACTAAATTTTAAAGCTTGTACATACTTATTGTTCCATATCTGTTATATTTTATCACTATGCTTATTTAATTATGTGTTAATATAATGATTGTTTTTTTCGTTGGCATATACTTTGTACTATTTGAATATTTAAATTTTTTAAATGTGATTCATGTTATGTTTTCATTACCATTATAATGTATATATGTATATTATAAATTTACTAGCCATATATGTTTAGTTATTTTCATTCTTTAGTTTAATAATAAAATAATAAATAATAAAAGGCTTAGCGAACCCGAAGGTTCGATGCCAACACCACCAATTGCTTATTACACACCTCCCTCTACCGTTCGCCATCCAAACCTAGTCCCTTCAGATCGGTTACAATGCAATCTTCCCACCTTCGCTTCGGTCTACCCCTCGGACGTTTACTTGTATTTGCTACAGCAAATATTAATCTTTTAGGAATTCTCTCGTTACTAAGCTACGATTATTTTCATGGAGTTTCACAGTAGTTTATCATAAACCCATTCGAGTTTGTTTTAAAATTCACATTTGACTTCATCATCACTGTCTTCGGTCGGACAATGTATGTTTATTAATGCGATTTTAAACCAATGTCCCTGAAATATAGGTACTGAAATTCTATCACTAAAGAATTGTACGTCCCTCAAAGCGGATAGCAATCTATTCCTAATTAGAAACACGGTACCTAACAATGATTCCCGCTTCCTCCGTACCAAATAGTGTACTTTCCTTCCATCATCAAGCCCTCCCCTGGCCAGCGAACCTCATGCAGGGCCACAACATCCAAATTGTACCCATTAACCTCATTCACGACCGATTTTAACCCCCCTTGTGTCATGAATCCCCTAAAGCACCCGGAGACCCAAACGGGGGACTAGTTTACCTCCAGGTAATGAGCATTTTACCTTAGGGAGATCCATGACTATTTGTGGTGTATGGTGAACTAAAGATATGTGAGTAGGGCGTTCAATCCTAGGTCACACCCTCCAGCAAGTCTGGTGGACCCCTGCCTCCAGCAAGTTTGGAGGTCCCCTCCCTGCAGGTATTCTGCAAACTACGATTTTTTCATTTAATTAAAAGGTGATGTATTAAACAGTTAACAAATTTTCATTGATCAGCAACGACTTTTCAGAGAGCCATGTCTCGCCTCTGAGATAAAAATCATCTGCTTAAAAATCAGAAACTAAACTTTCACTGAAAATATAGAGCAAATTTCTGCCATACATGAACTTTATTTATGATTAAATTTTGAAGTGAAATAAATATTTAATTGTGCTAAAATTCAATATAAAACTATTGGACAGATTTTTCTATAATAATATACGCTTAGGGAAGGGGAAGATAATTCAAGAAAGAAAATACTAATATATCCTCCATTTCCATTTTTACATCTCTCAATTTCTTCAGACATTATCAGTGTGCTGTTTTGAGCCCATGTATAAAATAACTATTGCATACATCTGATTATTTTAAACTGGTGCCTTAAAAAACAACTATTAAATATACTTCTGTAAAAACTCACATAAACAAGAATCTATTAATTAAAAAAAAATATTGAGCTTTATCCATGCATTAATTTAATAAAATAAGTGAACTTAGTACCTTTGTAAACAAAGTAGTAAAATGGCGTAAGGAGAAGGCTCAGTGGTTTTTGCACAGAACTCAGCTACTCTCGGGTCTTCTATCCGTATCTCATCAAATATCTGTAACCAACACATACCATAGTAGATATACATTCCATAATCATGGTTAGATTGAAAATATTAATAATCTACCAATAATTTAATCCACATAGAATAATAATATGTAATCAGTAGCTTGGCAGCAGATAATCGACCAACAAAATATGTAAACACAAAACACTGTAAAGGAGATTAATCATATCAACATAAACAGACAGATTTTTCAGAGTCCAGCGATTGTTCAACGAAAAATTTCCGTACATTTCCTGTACATTTTTCCATATTCTGCTTGGCCATCATTCATGCCAATCATAAATGGCATAGTTATAGCGTTATAATGCAATTTAACATTTTTTTTTTTTGTATATTTACTGATTCTTTGAGATTCATTTAATTGTATATATTTCCCGGAAATGAGTCATATTAATACTCGTTTTAAAACTAAAATATATACTTAATCTGAATTACATATAATGTTTTGTTACCGGGCTGTTTAGTAAAAATCATATATCACTAATAAAAAAATGAATTTCCTTTTTTTATATAATGAACCGTGCTGAACCGTTAGCAGAAGAACTGAGTAAAGAGGAAGTTGAAGTAGCTAACAGAAAACTAAAGTCTTATAAAGCAGCGGGAACTGATAATATTCCTAGTGAACTAATTAAGGCATGCAATGGAGCTAGTGTTCCTAAAAAGATCTGGAAGAATAAGAAATTGTCTGAAGAATGGGAAGAATCTATTCTTATTCTGATTCATAAAAAGGGTGCGAGGACGGATTGTAATAACTATAGAAGAATCTCACTCCTTCCGGTATGTGATAAAATATTCACATTCACATTAATAATTACTAATCGAATCATAGAATACGCCGAGGAAATTATCGGAGACTATCAATGCGAATTTAGGCTAACCGTTCAAATATTTTCTTTACAATAAATATTGGAGACAAAATTAGAGTACAATGGCATTGTTCATCAGCTGTATGTTGATTTCAAAAAGGCTTATGATTCTACTGACCACCATCCTGTAAACACAATCCTGTAAGGTGAGCAAGGTATTTTGATTACAAAATTTAAAAAATCATGAAACTTTTAACATCAGAAAATAGTATTTTTAAAAGCCATAATGTCATTGATTCTTTCCAACGCATGGAATTCCAAATGAGGGTTTCTCGTCATGAACACGTTTTTATAGCTCAAAATCCATCCGTGTATGATCAGCCGAATCCCCTTTCAGAAAATCATGTAGTTAATTTTATAGATAATTTTATTACCTGTGAACATAACGAGAATGATCCTTACACATAGCATTAAAAAAACACAAGCATACACATACATGTTACAAAAGACGTAAGAATAAGCAAATCCACACACACACACACACACATGAGAAAAGAGTAGAAGAGGTAGGAGTTTTAAGGATGCGGGAGAGGTAATTTTTTAAAATGTTAATAATTTGGAAATATGTGAGGGACATGTTTTGTTTGTCTGTTTTTAAGTTAAGTGGTTTGTATTCTAATTGAATGAAAATGCTATCCGTGAGTAGTCTTTTGTCATGGTTGGGAACTGTGGCAAGTATGGAGGTCTTGTCAAAGAAATGTGTGATTTGAGGATAAGGTGTGTTCAGAAAGTTTAGAGCAGTATTCTACTTAAATTTTAAATTTCTCTTCTAATATTTTCTTATAGAGTTATACATTTGATAAATCTATCCTAACGATATTACAACTCATGTTGTCTTATTAATTTTTTCATTTGTTTATCTACATTTATCAAGTGTAACTACTAGCTTGTTATCCACTAATATCTTATTATTATGTTATCTTATTCTTATTTTACCTTACCTATATCATTACTTATTCATTTTCAATCTCTTTATTCGTTAACCCTCATTTTCTTTATATGTTATCTACAGTTATCAAATGTAACCTTCACCAGTTTGTTATCTACTCATTTTTTATCTCTTTTCACAATCTGTTTACTTTTATCTTACACACTATATTAACCTTTGTTTTCTATTTCTTTCACACTTATTTTTCATTTTTGTTTGTATCTTCTATATATGTAATGCTTAATATTTTAACTACACTGTCACCCACTATATCTCTGATGTCATCTTATTATTTCTTTATCAGACAAATGTTTCTTATTTAATATCTACTAATAATTCATTTATTTTATTTTCACCATGTACCTTTTATATTTTGAATCTTTTGTAGCTCTGATGAAGACCTACAAAGTGGGTTGAAACGTCAGCGTAACGAATAAAATACTATTTTAACAATTTAGTATTTATTTGACTACACTCCCCGACCAATTTCTCATTTAAAATTTCTTGTTTTTTTTTCTATTATTATTAAAAATCTTTATGAAGGAAATTTTTCTTTTGTATAATATTATAATTTATGTTTTCCAGGTTAATGTTAATTGTATTTTACTTTTTGTAATCTCTCAATTTAGGATTTAAATTAATATATTTTTTTCTCTCAGTTTATAATTAAATATATCTGCCTTTTTTCCTTCTCTATTTTTTTCTTCATATTACTTTTTATCAAACGATTGGCCTCTTTTGAAAAGGGGTTGAGTCTATGTTGGCTTTATAACATCGCTCGCCCCATCATAGTTTTGTCCAGTCCGCAATAATAAACATTTTTGTCCAGTCGATTTTTATTTTGAACTATTAAGACATAGTTTGGTCCTCCAATTCGCCATATTTGTTTGAACTACCATACAAATTTAGTATTTAATGAGAGGAAAAAAGGAGATCATTTTGAATTTTATATATTGATAATTTTATTTCATATCAAATTTACTTTTTTTTGTATATTATTTCTTTCATATGATTTTCAGAATGGCTCCTAAGACAAAACCTAGTGAAGCGGATGTATATTTAGAATTAATGATTGAGGAATTTAAAGATCTCGCCAATGATATTCGTGACACTAGCGCTCTTGGGTGGCTATTTAGTACTGATATGAGTAAAAAGGGGATGTTACGGGCAAAACTTTCTCATATTGACTCAACATATGATAAATTTCTACTTCTAAATATCGGGAGATTAGGGTATTATCTATAAATATAGAAAAACCAATACAAGAATTTAGTGATCTTAAGGAAAAGGTCCGTAAGTATTTTTATGAAGCTTTGTTTGCTTTATGTTTCATCAGATAAAATTAATGAAGTCACAGAGAGTGACTCAACGTTTCAAGATAAAACCAACGAGAAACTATTTCTCATTTAAGACTCCCAGTAATTAATATCCCTTCGTTTTCAGGAAATACTTTGAATTGGCCCATGTTTAAAGATACATTCATCTCTCTGATACATTTTAATGAGGATCTTATTGATGCCCAGAAATTTTATTATCTAAAGTCATTTTTGAAGGGCTCTGCTGCTCAAACAATGTCGGCCATTCAAATTACGGGACAAGGTTATATAATTGCTTGGGATGCACTTATAAACGTTATGATAGTTTAAGAATTCAAGCAACCCACCATCCAATTTGGAAAGTTTGTCGTCCAATGTTCTAGAAAGAATCAGAAACACTTCAGTGTTTATTAAGTTAAATCTTGCTGACCCATCTGGGTTTATATTATATACCTATATTCTCAGAGTTTTTGATAGTAAAACCCGAGAACGTTTTGAGATGACGTTTGGTACTTAACTTGAGTTAAGTCCACCATTACCTATAAGAAAGTCTAGATCTCTGTTCACAACTCGTTAGATAACATCTCTTGCAATTTATAACTTACGAGAAAATAGGTTTTATTTGTTTGTTTTTTTCTCAAATAGTTAATGTTTAAAATTTCCTTGTTATTTTTTTCTATTATTATTAATTTTGTTTATAAAGGAAAATTTTCTTTTGTTGCCTTTTGTATATAAGATTATAATTTATAAATTATATTTATAATTTTTTTTCAGGTTAATGTTAATTGTATTTTTTTGTGTAATCTCTCAATTCATGATTTAACTTAATATATTTTTTCTCTCAGTATATAATTAATTATATTCGTCTTTTTTTCTCTCAGTATATAATTAATTATATTTGTCTTTTTTTCTCTCAGTATATAATTAATTATATTTGTCTTTTTTCCTTCTCTATTTTTTCTTCATATTATTTTTTAACAAACGATTGGCACCTTTTGAAAAGGGGTTGGGTTGATTTTGGGTTTATAACATCGCTCGCCCCATTAATATATATATTATATTTTTACAGGTGGCATTACAGACCATGTAGGCAGATCTTTTGCCACCTTAACAAGCCTGCTCCATCTCTGCCTGTCTTGGGGTATTTCTTTCCATTTATCTGCACGCGGTTCTGTTGCATCTTTGTTGATTCTATCCATCTATCTGTTTTTTGGTCTTCCATGTGGTCTTCTGCCTTCTATTGAGGCATTCATTGTTATGTAGAGGCTTCCAGATGAATTGCTAGAAGCTACATGCCCCAACCATTTTAACCTCCATGCTTTCATATCATGGGATATTGATTGACTAGTTTCTGTAAGCAGTTCTTTATTGGTCTTTTTTCCATCGGCAATTCCAGATTCCTCAGGAACTAGCGATTCTGGATTCCTTAGGAATTGGTGATTCCAGATTCCCCAGGAATTGATCGATTCACCGGTTTTGTTCTAAGAAATATTTCAGTCTTGTTCCATTGTTTGTTGAGTTGTTATGTTTACTTTCCAAATCTACTCTTCCATCAGCATTTCGTATTCGGAAATTCATAACCTACGCTTATTTACACTACTATTTTGTTTATTGTTTCTCTCTGTTTGTTTTATTTATATATGTATAAGTTCGAACGGGCTTACTGCAGGAAGATGGACTATCATCGATGTTGTTCAACTTAGTCCTGGAGAAGGTAATAAGAGCAACATCACAGGAAAATGGAGGAGTCCACGTTGGAATGAATCATAAAATCCTTGAATATGCAGATGATATAGCTGTCCTTGGAAGTAATCAAGAGGACATTGAGAAACTTGCTATAACACTAATAAGAGAGGCAGAGCAGATCGGCCTACAAGTAAATGAAGAAAAAACAAAATATATAATAATAAGCTGAAAATTCCATGCCAATAATAAGATTTGGGTAGAAGAAAAATCATTCCTGAGAATAGAAAAATTCAAATACCTCGGCTCCACAATAACCTCAATGAATGACCAACGGGCAGAAATAGACCAGTGCGTAACTAGCGCAAACAGAGCTTTATTCTCCCTCTCAAAAGTATTGAAATCCCGAAAATCTCATGAAGTCTCAAACTAAGGGTGTACAATGCTATGATAAAGCCAGTTCTAATATATGGCTGTGAGACCTGGACACTAACCAGCACCTTAGAAAAAAGTGTTGAAAGATTTCAGAAGAAAATCCTCTGCACGATAACTGGAGCGATCTGGGATCAGAGTACTAACACATGGAGAAAAAATAACAATAAAGAAATGCTTACAGAAACTGGTCAATCAATATCCCATGATATGAAGGCACAGAGGTTAAGATGGTTGGGGCATGTAGCTTGTAGCAATCCATCTGGAAGCCTCTACGTAACAATGGATGCCTCAATATAAGGCGAAAGACCACATAGAAGGCCAAAAAGCAGATGGAAAGATAGAATCAACAAAGATGCAGCAGAGCTGCGTGCAGATAAATGGAAAGAAATACCCCAAGACAGGCATAGATGGAGCAAGCTTGTTAAGGCAGCAAAAGATCTACAGTTTCTATAAGCAGTTTTTTATTGGTCTTTTTTTCTCCATATGTTAGTACTCTGATCCCAGATCGCTCTGTTTATCACGTGGAGAATTTTTCTCTCAAATCTTTCAAAACTTTTTTCTAGACTGCTGGTTAGTGTCCAGGTTTCACAGCCATATATTAGAACTGGCTTTTTCATACAATCTTAATCAAATTCAAATCTTAATTTGAGATTTTTTGGGGAAGGGAGAATCTATTTCTACCCGTTTGTCATTCATTGAGGTTATTGTGGAGCTGAGGTATTTGAATTTGTCTATTCTCGGGAAAGATTTTTCTTCTACCCAAATCCTGTAATTGGAGGTGGAGTTTTTCAGCTTATTATCATATATTTTGTTTTGTCTTCATTTACTTGTAGGTCTATCTGCTCTGGCTCTCTTATATGTGTTATAGCAAGTTTCTCAATGTCCTCTTGATTACTTCCAAGGACAGCTATATCATCTGCATATCCAAAGATTTTATGATTCATTCCAACATGGACTCCTCCATTTTCCTGAGATGTTGCTCTTATTATCTTCTCCAGGACTAAGTTAAACAACATCGATGATAGTCCATCTCCCTGCCGTAAGCCCGTTCGAACTCTGAAGGCTTCTCCTTGTAATAGGGCTCTTCATTTATTCATGTCATCAGTGTAAAATTAAGGTTTTTTTTCATATAATGTAGGTCTTATTCTCATTGATGTTCTTTGACAGGGTATAAATGGGAAATTTTCAAAATTTCTTACTCTAAAGTACCTTTAATTTTTTTATTTGAAATAATTAATCATTTCATATCATAAAGTGATATAATAAATGTTTAAATATAATGAATGAAGAAAATTGATTGGTAACTAAATGAAAATTAAGGGTTGGAAGCTATATGGAAACGCGCCCGACCTTTGCCGATCCTCTCCCTATACAGAAACCCGATATCCCCTTGTACAGTGCTTCCATATTGTTATATATCATATCCATATTTTTAAAAAAATGTTTTCATGTGAAATGTTGAAGATTTACTATTATAAACCTAATAATACACAATATTTACTAAAATTAGGTTATTTTTTCAACGAGTTTTGCTATATATATTTTCCCAGAAAACTCAGAATTTTTACAAATGATCCATTTTTCTCCACAATCATTGGTATTGTTTGATACTATATGCAGTTGTAAAAGGAAATAGAAAGTGATGTAAACGTGTAAATTTAACAGATTCGATGGGAGGGAAAAACTTGGTAATTAATTGTTTTAATTAATTTATACCACTGTTTTCACTTTGACTTTCCTATATATGAAAATACATATCAAATCTAAGGTTGGTAAGTGAAAGTTGTGTGATGAGCACACCGCACAAGATGTTTAGAAGTAAAAACTAAAAATATTACATGTATGGCTTAATCAAGCAGTGTAAATTGAATAGAAAATAATCTACTTCATAAAATAAAAAATATGATTTATTTCATCTTAAGAGTACTCTTAAGTGTTTTCACTTACACGTTCATAAATAAATCAGAGAAGTATTTATATAGATTAAATAAACCTAATAGTATTATAGTGTGAAATAAATACATATTTTGATGGTGTCAAAATACTTTTAGCTTGACATTAATATACTGATGTTTGCGTACCAGTTCCCATGTTCTAGGGAATTATTAGAAAAGTATTACAAATGAGAGAAAACCCCTCTAACATTTTATAAAAATAAAAATATTACAATGGAATTTTCACAAAAATCATATAATGAATAGGCTATTATTAATATTACTGATAAACTAGTTTCATCTTCATCTGGGAAATTAGTTATTCCACTCCTTTTCCCATTTTTATTATCACTTCTTATTTTTTCTCTCATTTCTGGGATTAATATTTCCAATGAAGCTTTCGCAGCAGCAAGTTTCGCTTGTTTTTTACTTGTTCCTGTGCCATAACCATACCTCATGTCATTGATAATTACTGTAGCTGAGTAAGGAGTTGAAGGATTTTCTGAAAATTAAATCAAATAAATAATTATCTGTAAGTAAAGAATCTACTAAGGAAAATTCAAGTACATACTGAGAATATAAATATGTATAGTAAAAGTGAAAGAGGTACAAAAAAACATTAAAAATTTTAAAAATAAAGGGCATGAAATCCCTTGATGAGGTGAACTATCTGATAAAAAAAAAAATAAGGAAGTGATTCTTTTATATTAAAAGGCAAGAGTATGATTTAGAGTCTTTCATTTTTGATAGTAAATTTCTTTTAGTGTTTTAAAAGAGCTCAGAAGGCAAGCAAGGCGTGGATTTTTATGCTATTGCATAGTTCTTTTGCAAGCAATTTTTTCTACTTTATTTAATAAATTGATTTAAAGTGTGTCTACACATACTATTAGACAAACAAACAAAATTCATACCAAAAACGTTATTAAAGCCGTACAGCTATGCCATTTGTGAGTACTGTAGTGACTTTACCAGGGTTTTTATTGCCTAAACCAATATTTTTTCATGTTTCATTATTCTATGACTATTAAGCTTTAATAAAATGCCAATTATGATGGAATTAAACCAAATGGAGAAGCTCAGTGACCAAAAAAATAACTCAAGTCAAAAGTTGTCAATCCGCCATGTTGGATGGCATTTTGGGACAGTGCGTTCACTTTTTTGTGGGACCATTGGCTTTTTTTAAATAAACAGTTGCAAGGAACACAACAATATGAAATTTATAGGAATGTGGGGGAGTGCATGATAGGGAGTCTGGCCCACCGTGTACCGCTACTGAGGGTGAAGGATGCCATGGACGAACAACCCTGGTCAAGATCAGTATGTCCAAAGTGAATGAAAACGTGAATCCATCCAAATTTGTGAGTGTGATATAATAATAAGTTATTGAAAATAATGATAACAATGAGGGTTATAATTGTATGTATTTAATATAACAAACTAGTATAAAATTATCATGAAGCTTCTATTATCTGTAAAATACAACATTAAATTATTCAAAACATGATTTTTTTCTGGTAGAGATCTGGTATTGAGAGAGTGGATAGAGGAGCGTAAAGTAAGGAGTTCTAAGATGTAGGGCGGATTTTTGCTTCTGAGAACTTGAAAAGAAAAACAACAAGTAGGAATTGCTGTCGGGAAGTACAATATAGCCACTTCAACTGGGTGTACCAACAAGAAATATGAGAAAGCTTGGGAATCCCAAGTATGAATCTTATGAAGAAATTTATGATTTTCTTCAGTCTCACCTCCAGTTCTGTGGACAGCACTCCATACACCAGGCAACCGTAGTCGAAGTGGGGGAAGACAAGGGATGTTACAAGAAGCTGTCTGGTTTTTTTTTGGAATGGAATCACGGAATCGAAGGAATTGTTTAAGGATAGTTATGAATTTACGGGTAATCTGGGAAATTTGGTTGTTGTGAAAAATAAATTTGTAGATCGTCCGCATATAAGTGATAGTGGGAATGACTAATGGAGTCAGGAAGGTCGCTAATATAAATAGAGAACAGAGTTGGAGAAAGTGAGGATCCCTGAGGGACACCATGTGTTAACTGAAGAGAGGAGGAAGGAGATTTGTCAGGAATAACTACTGTCTGGGAACGATGGGATAAAAAGGAGAGGAACCATTTCCGTACGCTATTCAATATCGGTAGGCTTTGGAGTTTGGTAATGAGGATATTATGATTGACGGAGTCGAAGGCTTTTGAAAAGTCGAAAAGGACTAGGATGAAGATTTTCTGTTTGTCTATGGATGATTGGAGCTCTTGGGTAATCTTTATTAAGGCAGATTGGATGGAGTATTGGGAACGAAAACCGGATTGTAGAGGATTGAGGAGACAGTTTTGCTCTAGAAAGTTGTTCAACTGAGAGTGAACTAATATTTCTAGAGGCTTGGATAAATTGGATAAAATGGAAATGGGTCTAAAGTCAGATACTAGTGAAGGAGCTGAGACTTTGTTCAACAGTCGGACAATGACTTTTTTCCAGGGTTTTGGAAAAATGGAATTTTGGAGGGAAAAATTGTAGATGTGTAGGAGTATAGGAAGTAAGTTTGGTAAGCAGAGTTTAATGATTTTCATAGGAATTTGGTCAGGACCATAGTTGTTGGTTTTGGATTTATGGATAGTAGAGAGCAGGTCAGTAGGAGAGATATCAAGAAAAAAAAACTTATTTGGGTCAAAGGAGGTTTCAGTGATGGGATAAGGTACGGGGTCAGATGTGTATAAAGAAGTAGAATGGTTTGCAAAAAAGGTATTTAGTTCGTTCGGATCTACTGGATAAAGTGTGCAGGTTTTGGAGCTTATGACAGAGAGTTTCCTAAGGATTGTCCATTTGGATTTAGGATTAGGTGCTTGGGATAGTACATTGTTAAAGTATTGAGCTTTGGCCCGGCATAAGAATATTTGTGTACTATTCTGTAGGGATTTGAATATAGTATAGTGTTGGGGTAGTCGTGTACGTCTGTATCGTCTTCTGGCAGCCTCTCTTCCTCTCATCATCTCTCTGATTTCTGAATTTATCCAAGGAGCAGGAGGACGTCTAAAAGTACGGGTTTTAAGGGGAGCGTGATGGTTAAGGAAATCAAGAAGGTTAGAGGAAAGATGTTCCACCATGTCATCGATGGAGAAAGGGAGTAGATGGGTTCTAAGGAAACTGATAAGGAATCGAGATAAGGTCTGATGTTTTCAATGGTTAGGGAGTCGAGATCTCTCCAGGAAATTTGTTTGGGGACAATGGTAGGAATAATAACATTGTAAGAGATTTCGATAAGATCATGGGATGAGAGAAAGGAAACAGGGTTTTGCGTGGAGGATAATAGGTTTTGAGAGGAATCAATGATAAATAAGTCTAGCCAGGTATCAGTGAACTGGGTATGATGGGTGGGTTGAAAAGGTACAATATATAGGTCTAGGGAGAAAAACAGGTCAATAAGGTATGTTCTGCCTGGAGAGACTGAAAGGAGGTTGGTGTTGAGATCGCCTGCAATTATGACATTTTTAAACAGAGGGATATGTGTAAGGAGGGAGGATTCAAATGTGGGATCAAATCGGACACGAGGAGGGCGGTAAATAACGATGTAGAGTAGGGAGAAGGTTCTAGAGGAAACTTGGACAAATAGATATTCAATGTGTGGGATATCAGAAGAAGGTGATTTTAAAAGGATTTTTGCGCTCAAGCTGTCATGAACGAACAGAACGAAGCCTCCCCCTGGTCGATCAGCCTGATCACGACGAAAGAGGGTATAATCAGGTAAGGAAACAGATGGTGAGGGGATGTCAGGTTTGAGCCAAATTTCAGATATGGTAGAAATTGTGGTGAAAATAATCTAGGAATTCGTCAATATTTGCAGGAAGGGATTGGGAGTTAACGTGGCAGGAGATTAAGGTATTAGTCATTAAGGAATTAAATAAAGGATAAGCAGTAGGATGGGATAGAACAAAGTTAGGATTAGAGGAGAGGGTACATTTTTAAACAGTATATTGCAAAATCCAGATAATAATAAGTAGAATAATATAAGTAAATTTTGATCAAAAAACGTGAGAAAGAATGACCATAGTAAAAAATAATGTTCAATTTAAAATAAAATAAAAGTCTTCTACGTTTGAAAATAAAGTAAAAAATTGAAATGAACAGCTGTTTGAGTAAATTAAGTTAAAAATTAAAAATATAAGGCTTTTCCATAACATAAGGCCGTCCTCTCTTCTATATTTAATTTTTCCTCCGGCGAACCAGAGGTACTTCATCTTCCCTGCCACCTGTTTTTGCCTCGCCAACCAGTATAAATGTTTGTTGCCAGGGCTCATTTCTTTACCTATGTATATCCTTTCGTCAGTGTCCCACCCTCTGTCACTTCACCCGGATTAGCCGTGATACCTCTTATCTCCAAGTTGTTTGCCAGCTGGGCTTGTTCTGCTTGGTTAAGCCTAGACTCGAGAACAATTATTTGTGATTTAAGAGTTTTATTCTCACTCACTAAATTTCCAATGATTTTTTCTTGTTTCAGAGCTAATTCTGCTATTTTTCTCAATCTTTCATTGTTCTTGAATGCTAAATCACTCTGCTTTCCTAGCGATATCTTGACCTCTTTGATATCTTCGGCTATCTTTTTTACCTTGGCTAATATAGAGGTATTGCTCCCTTCTGACAACTCAGCGGCCGTAGTGGCTTGATTCTTACTGAGGGGCTTTACACACGTATGGCAGAACCAATTCTTTTTTAATTGCTGAGATACATCGGTCTCAGCGATATTGCAGAATTTTTTGAGGTGAATTAGTTTCCATGTAGAAAAAACTAATGTAGCCTTATCTTCTCTGCCGATCGTGTTATTACATTTCGGGCACAGCGTCGTTGTAAAGTAACTGTGTTACTGGCTTATAAAGTTATAGATACGAGTGAGGTGGTGGGGAGCGAGAGATGTAGTGGGGGTTAATCTCTGCCCTCATCTCAAGCTCGACTGTCTCGGTATACTCTAAAGTTATTGCTTACCTTTTTGTTTACTTAAGAATAATAACTTGAAATATCATCAAACAAGTCAATTGGAGCACTGGTAATATTTAATAAGTATAATAAGCACTATAAACAACACAACTTGTAATAGCACAGTTATATCTTTGGAGAACAAAACAACACCGATCCTACCAGTATAAAGGTAAGGGCCAGACTCCCTTGCCAAGGATGTCCCACTTGATGGAAGATCCTTATTCACCTACGTCATATTCTCTTAAGTGAGCATAAATTTCACATCAAATACAATTTGGTACTATTCCATAATGTAATACTTTTTTTAAGAAAAGATGAATTATGATAAGAATTCTTATACACACATAATAAAAGAAAAAAGTTTAATTGAAAAATATAATGCTTTCATAAATATAAACTTACCTAAAGCCTTGAATTCATAAGTTGGTTGTTTTTTAAGTGCATGTTGAACATATTCATGCAAAATGCAAATATAGCTTTTTCCATTGGGATTCATAATCCATTCTCCCCTAGGCTTTGCTTTAGGACCATCATCTAATGTAAAAACAAAATCATTATAAAAAACACCTGAAATTTACACAAGATTTTAATAATAATAAACTGGAGCCTGTGATACAGACTCCTTTTTATCAAATTATTAACATTTGTCTAAAACTCATGAATGGCTTTATCTTGCCGTGACCTACAACTTTTTTATTTATGAAAATTCTGGGGAATGGGGCGTTTTCAATCTACAGATCGATAAACTTTGTCTATTGAAAGAGGCACTAAACCCATGAACATTCTTTTGTTTTCCACTTGAATCATACGATAATTTTATCTCAAAATTGACAAAAAAGTCACCTACAAAAATATTGGGATTTTTAGCATGACCTACACTCTTAAAAAATCAAAATAACGAGGTTATATATAACACATGGCCCAATATTTTTGAAAGCCACCTTTTTTATCGAGTTTGTGATCAAATTATCTGATGATTTGTTTGGAAAAGAAATCAGCATATATGAGTTTTTAGTACCTAATCAAATTAATTATTTAATAGTTCGCAATACATAACCATGTGATTGCTAAATAGACCTATAGGTGCCATATATGTGGAAAAGCTGTTGCTTAACAGTGTCGACTATGCAGAACAGCAACAGAATTGATTCAGCATATTATATCTGGCTGTTAGATATTTGCTGGAAACAAACATCTCCTGAGACACAACAAGCACAGGTATAATAATCCTGCAATTTACCGGCCTGAAACCCCTACCCTATTTACCTACCTACAACAACAAGCCAAAGATCGTTTACCAGACATTAGCCAAGAAATTTGGAATTTTGGGCAACACCTGTCCTTACTACAAGTATAGCCCACCATCAGTTATTGATAGACGGCATGTCAAGCAGGTATGTCAATACCTCTCCTTTATCCTCCGGTTCCGGCTTTCCTCTAGAGATACCATTTAACGACAATAAATTTTATTTTTCCAACATTTCCCCCACAGACCTTTTAACTGCTGTTATGAAATCCCACACCAATTCCCTAAGATCAGATGGCATTCTTGTCAAATTAATAAAATTATGTCTCCCTGAAATCCTCCCAGTTCTCCTTTTCATCTACAATTTCTCCCTTCAAAATTCAGTATTCCCTACATCTTGGAAAAAATCCATTGTCCCTCCTTGTCCAGCACGAAAACTTTGCCTAGGCTGTACCGTTCGTAGTTTTATTGCCAACTACAAAAAATGTGATAACTTTAAAATGGCTCCACCGATTCACAAACAAATTATTAGGGATTTAGGGCTCTATATGCTACAAGAAGTGCCCCTTTCTATATGCCTGGCAGTAATACTGAGTTTAGGTATTAAGACAACCAAAATACTGCGATAAAACTGACCGGATGCGGTCTAGAGGTAGTCAGGAATGAGCGTTCATGGACGCAGGGTCTATGTATTTGTTCATGAGAAACTCTCCACTCTGTCAGCCGCTTCTATCTCATCTCAGCTGGCGCTAGCCTAGCGCCATTTTCTGATGGCAACTGTTCAGCATTCAGCAGTCATCTGTATCGATAGATTTAACGCATCTGTACCACCCACCATGGACAGTTGAACACCCAGGTAACCTCCTTGGGATTACCTTCCACAAGTATTTTTTTTCATCTCTCCATGGTCATAAAGACATTGAACATTAACTTAATTAACTTAACTTTGTAACTCTTCTAAATTAATTTATTCTTTTTGCACACTAGAATGAGTTTTAAGTTATTTTTTTTTCTGGTTTTTATCTCTAGTTTTATAAGTTTATTTTTTGTTTATGTTTTTGATGGACAATTTTTTAAATATTTAATAGGATATTGTATTTTTTCTCAGAACTTTATACCAATGTTTATTTTAACTTTTGTACATATTCAGATTTTTTTCATTCAATAAATATTGTAAACATTTAGAAGGGGATATTTGATTTGTTTATCTTAACATCTTTAATTAATTAGGTAATTTTATTTTGTACTGTGTTGTGCATGCGTTTTAATCATTTCATGCGGTCTCATTTCATTATTTTTTCCCGTCTTTTCCACCATTTAATTTCACTCGAATTTTCCCCACCTTTAAGGAAACTCACCGGGGAAAGGTTTGTATTTTTGATTTTGAAGTACCCATAGTCCCAACAGTATTTAAAAAAGGAATGAAATCTAAAAGTTATCGATGCAGGTTAGGAGAACAGTGATTCAGCTTTCCAATGGTTGTTCTAACGTTCAATTTGGAGAACATCCTGAGAAGTGAATGCTTTAGTTATGGCCCAGAAAAAGAATTCGTATATAAGAGTTTCAAAGGACACTAAAACAAATCTTACTTGTTTTTTAATTACAAAAATTATTAGGGATTTAGAGCTCTATATGCTACACAAAATGGTACATAACGGACCTCCGTAAACAAATTAAAACAAAAAATTTTTTTTTACTGTAAACGCCTTTTGGTTTTTGTACTTTATGATACACTATAATTCATTTAATACAATTATTTTTTCTTATTCTGCACAAAAAATGAAATTGATTAATACATAATAACTTAAAAATCCAGGGAATGCAAACGCAAAAATAGATAATATGAATTTTGTTTTAAATTATATACATTTTTTTTCTTGTCTCCTAGGTTGCATTCGAACGAACGTTGGAACATGTGACCACTGAAAAAAATTAGGTTGAAATCGGTGACCCATTACCTGTAGCATCCCATTGTCAAAGTACTTTTTGCTCTTAATAGTATTTAATATGACACTAGAAACCTGCATTTGTTAGAAGAAATTGGAAGTACCTGGATTTTGTATAGGAAATTTGATAAGTTTGGTTCCATCAGGAAACGATGGTCTGTGTTGTTCTTTTTCTATTTTTTTTGCTTTTGCATACTTACGTCTATCAGCCCATGAACTGAAAATAAACATAAATTATTGATATAAATATAATGAAATAAATTTTAAAAATTACATTTCCAAGGATTTGCTACTTACACAAAATGTAATCTCTTTTCTTTTTTGAAACGGAATAGTTTTTTACAATACTGTTGTAATGTAAAAGCACCAAGGCTCTGCGACAATTTGTTCTCTTCTGTTGTTTCAATTTTGGCAGTATGCAAATATTGTGGACCTAATAAAAAGTTTAGTATAATAATGTTTGATTATGAAAACATAAAAAAAGAAGAAAAGAAATATGAATTCATGAAATCTCAATCACAACTAGGGAGGAGGGGAGAAAGACTTCCAGGCTGAAGCCCTTCCTCCAAAATGGTAATGGCTGAATCACTACCTGGCTCCCTGGATGTGTCAGCAAATTAAGGATCTACAGAAGTGACGTGATGCTGCCCAGAGATACTTTAGACTTACTAGGCTTGCTGGCGACTATCAAGTGTTTATGGTGCTCCAAAACCTGACACAAACCAGAATCCGAAGAGCTAAATCCATCTATTTCCACAAAATCCCCTCATCAGCTCCTGATTCAAAACCCTTCGTAAACTCTCCCTCTGTGAGCCTTCCAGATCACCACCCTCAACAGTCTTTCCAATATTACCTGAGGATTTAAATTCATATTTTGTATCTGCTTCCTCTTCTACTCCACCACTAACCTCTTCCTTCTTTTATCATGGAACATAGTTTAACAAAGACGACTTCTATTTTTCAGACATTTCGCTCATCCTCTGTGATGTGAGTGAAGAGATCACATTCTACTTCCATTGGTCCAGATGGCATTTCTGCCAAGTTAGTCAAATTATGTCTTCCTCAAATCCTTGCTGTTCTCCTTTTCACCTATAATTTCTCCCTTCAGAACTCAGTATTTCCTACCCCTTGGAAAAAGCCACGGTCCCTCTTACAAATAAAATTTCTAACCTTTCAAATCCTCTGGAAATAATAGTGGAATCCCAAGTTTCCAATTTCATCGAACACTCTAATCAATTTGACCCTTACCAATCTGGTTTTTGACCAGATCACTCCACACAATCTGCTCTCATCAAAATCATTAGTGATGTTCAGTCCACTATAGATGACAAAAAACTAACTGTCCTTGTACTTCTTTACTTCTCCAAAGCCTTTGACATGCTTCTATATGATGCATTACTTCTAAATCATTCCATCCTTTTTTCCAAATTAAAATCATTATCTTTTTCCAACAGTTCTATCCTTTGGTTTCAATCTTTCCTCTCTCAACCTAACCAAGCGGACACTATTCTTGATCAGCCTTTGTCTTCCTATGTTACTATGTCCCCAGGAGTAGCTCAGAGCTCTAGCATATCTCCTCTTATTTTTAGTTCCTATATCAATGACCTTCATAAATCAACCCTTCACTGTTCTCATCATCTCTAAGCCGATGATTCCTAAATTTACCTTTTCTTCTCTCCCTTTGATTTGCGTGATGAGTTTGCCAAAATTCAAGGAGACTTAAATCGGATCAGTGCCTGGGCAAACTTAAATGGGTTAAGGCTAAACGCTGCTAAAACTCATGCCATAGCCATTGATTTCAAACCCCTTCTCAGATCCAATACTAACATTCCTGTCCTATACCTAAATGACCATCCCATTATGTTCAGCTCCTCAGTTAAAAACTTGGTCATTTTCATTGACCAAGCCCTCTCCTGGTATCACCATATTTCCCACATCTGCTAATGTTCTATTGATACCCTGAAACTATTTCATCACTTCTATCATCTCCTATCCATGCCCACACGTAGACTCCTAGTATCTTCCCTCCCCATGAAAATGGCTGCATGGTGTACGGTGAACTCTCAGAGAGAGACTGAAAAGAATTATGAATGGCTTTGTAAGATTCGTCAATGAAACCCCGAGGTATTTCCATGTTTTCCACTGCTATGATGAGTTAGGATGGCTCTTCCCTATGTTTCGAAAGACAATACTTCCTAGGAACATTCCGTTACCAAATAATCAATAACCAATGGCCGACCTGCGCATGCAACCTTTTCCAATTTAACTCTTCCATCCATTCCCTCTCCACAAGATCTCGTCCTTCTGACCTTTACACCCTTTTCCACAGATCTACCTCATTTAAACACTCCTTTATTGTCCTTTCCACTGCATTATGGAATTCCATTTCGCTTAAAACCCACCATGCATCATCCTAATCCACATTTATCATCCAAAAATCACCGATCACATCCTTAAAATTGTTCCCAATATTCCAACTCTGTTCTTGCATGATAATCCCATCAAATTTTACCTCACCATCAAAAACCTTGGAATAACCTTCGATCAAACGCTTTCCTGGAAAAAACATAAATCCAATATTGCCAGCCGTACCATTTCCACTCAAAAACGTCTAAATTATTCTCGTCATCAATTTCCATTTGAAATCCTTAGGCTCCTAGTCACTTCCTTAATTTTTCCCCACTTTGACTATTGCTGTTCGGTACATGGAGGTGTCTCTGGGGATCTCGAGGCAAAACTAAAACGTTTGATAAATTGCTTTGTACGATTCATCTTCGGGATACCAAGGGAGGCCTCTGTTTCCCATTTTTATGCAAAGTTGAAGTGGCTTTATACTTCCTACCATCGTAAATATTTCCTGACATCCTTCCTCTTTCAAGTCATCCAATCCCACCGTCCTTCATACATCTTCGAGCTCCTTCAATTCAAATCCTCTGTTTGTTCCCGGTCTTCTTATTTATACATAAGGGCCCACCGAACCGCTGCTTTCGACAGATCTTTCATTATCCAATCTTCATCCCTTTGGAACTCCATCCCTTCTCACATTCGTCAATCTAATACCCTTCCTATCTTTAAATCCTGCCTGTTCAATCATTTCTTATCCATCCAGTTCCCATGAAATTGTAAATAGGTACTAATATAAATATGTATATAAATTATTAGTTCGTTCTTCATTATTATTACTCATTCCTTTTTCTATTTTTTATTTTTTTATTATTAACTGATTAAAATTAGAAATTAACTTATAATTTTTTATTTTTTTACTATGACTGGTTAATTACTCTGTATTTTTATTTATGTATCTCTGAGGCTCCTTAGCCCATATTTATGTCTTTCTGTATTATTCTAAAGGGACTCGTCCCAGAATAAATAAAGTATTATTATTTTTAAAAAATCCACATCCAACCCAGGCACAGCTTTATTTTTTATTTAAGCTGCCTCAAAAATACATATGCCTGCAGTGCCTAATACCATGCATGTGTACACCACTGTAAAAGAACCAAACAAAACTAACAGCATTAAGCATAACTGTGCTATGAATTTTATTTATTCTGACAAAGTTGCTACAATTTTTTTTTAATACAGAGACACAAATTTTTTTTTTCCCTAATGAGAAAGGCAAACAATTTTTTTAGCCAACAAAAATAATTTTTGCAGTGGGGAAAAACAGTTTTGCTGAGACAGTTAAAGTTTAATATTTTTTGCCATGGTAAAAAACATATTATTAAGAACCTCTGCTTTAAATCAACAAAAAAACTCTTTTAACAGGCATAGAATATAATCTTTATAATAGTAATGAACATTTTTTAAACTAAATATTTTTTTTTAAATTAAGGCAAAAAATAAGAAAATAAATATTTTTTATGTGAATAAGCACAATAAATACAGTTACCATCATTTTTAACATTCAAAGCATCTCCTTCTTTTTTTCTTGTTTCCTCCTCATCAAGAGCACGGCGATATTGCAAACAAGGGATAGCACTCAGGGGCACATTATGTTTCTAAAATAAATTTAAAAAACAAAAATTTGAATGTATACAAACCATATATTTATTAAATTGTGAAGGGTGATGAAACTTCAACACTAAAAATCCATTTACTAGCAATATTTTAATTAGCAAGTTATCTTCAGGTGAAATCAAGAAAGGAACCAAATTCTGTTAATTAAATATATGATTTGATACTATTATTAATTTACAATAATTCTTAATAGTATAATATCACATGTATATATAAATGGAGTAATCATTTTTATTTCTTTAATATATCAAATTTGGTTTATTTTAATTTTGGTTAAATTGAGTAATAATTTTTAGTTCTTTAATAATATATCAAAGTCGACTTAAATCACTACTGTTATATATTGCATTAAAATGCATGTTTCATTATAATTGAAGTTAATAATATATGGGTCATTTAAAAATTTTGTTTCTTTTGAGCCTAACTTTTTAATAATAATAATAATAATAAAAAGGCTTAGCGAACCCGAAGGTTCGATGCCGACACCACCAATCGCTTATTGCACACCTCCCTCCATCGTTCGCCGTCCAAACCCAGTCCCTTCAGATCGGCTTTAATGCAATCTTCCCACCTTCGCTAACTCTCCGGTAAACTCATCCTTCTTCGGTCCGAATATTCTACGCAATACTTTATTTTCAAAAACCTTAAGACGCTGCTCATCCCTTAATGTAAGCGGCCAAGTTTCGCACCCATAAAGAACTGTAGGCAAGATAATTGTTTTATAGATTCTAATTTTTAAGTTTCGGGACAAGAGGCGCGAACTAAGTAGTTTTGTCACAGAAAAATAACAAGCATTTCCCGCCTTCAGTCTAACCTTAATCTCTTCTTCAATTTCGTTTTTTCTAGTTATCGTAGAACCTAGATACCTAAACTTATCTACCTGTTCAAACATATTACCATCTATATCGATATCACCAGTAGTATCGCCATTTTTGCAGCTAACCATATATTTTGTTTTATCCACGTTTATTTCGAGTCCTAGTTCTTTACCGGCTTTCATTAACGTTGTCGTATTTAGTTTTATAGTTTCAAGGTCTTCGCTTAACAGTACCAGATCATCAGCATAGCCCAGCACGGATGTTGTCCCGCCCAGATCCAACCCTTTCTCGGTTCGCATTACCTCCCTAATGGCATGTTCTAATGCCAAATTGAACAGGACAGGCGAAAGAGAATCCCCCTGTTTTAAGCCCGAACGAACCTCAAATTTTTCGGACAAATTATTACCGATTCTAACTTTATTGAGTGTCTCCGTCAAGCACATCCTGACTAGATTTACTAGTTTTTTTGGAATCCCCTGCTCGATTAGAATATTATACAGTTTCTGGCGGTCAATAGAATCGTAAGCCTTTTTTAAATCTATATACAGCTGGTGAACAATACCGTTGTACTCCAGTTTTTTCTCTAATATTTGCCGTAAAGAAAATATTTGATCAATAGTCGAACGATTCCGTCTAAATCCGCATTGGTAGTCTCCGATAATTTCCTTGGCGTATTCCGTGATTCGACTGGTTAAGATTAAAGTAAATATTTTATAGCATACCGGAAGGAGTGAAATTCCTCGATAGTTATTACAATCCGTCCTCGGACCCTTTTTGTGAATCGGAATAAGAAAGATTCTTTCCATTCTTCAGGTAATTTCTCATTCACCCAGATCTTTTTAACCAACCGATGTATTTTAGAAACTCCAGCTTCCCCGCATGCCTTAATTAGTTCAGTGGGAATATTGTCGGTTCCCGCTGCTTTATAAGATTTTAATTTTCCGATAGCTAATTCAACTTCCTCTTTACTCGGTCCTTCTATCAACGGTTCAGCACTCTGGTACTCAGAAGGAGGACACAGATCATAATTTCCCGTATTTAAAATATTGTCAAAGTGGTCCTTAAATTTATTCAATATGTCAACCGGATCGGTCAGAATATTGTTATTATCATCCCTAATTCCAGATGTTACGGACCCTACACATTTATGTGATCTGTTTATACCTTTGTACATGTCTCTTACGTTATTTTCGATTCTATTAGTTTCTATTTCAATTATTTTATTTTTAAGATACTCCCTTTTTTTACTTTTGAGCAATTTTGTCGTTTCGTTCTTTGAGGTTCGGAAGTATTCCAGATTGTCTTCGCTAGGATTATTTAGAGCTTTTAATTTAGCGGCTTTTCTTTTTTCGCACATGTTTAAGCAATCTTCATCAAACCAAGGTTTGTTATTCTTATTTTCCTTTTTTCCTAGGCACGAGTTACCGACCGCTTTAATATTATCCCTGATCTCTACCCATAACTTGTCAATATCCTTGTGGTCCTCGTCAGGAAGCTCTAAAGCTTCAAACTTATTCTTAACATCTAGCTCGAATTGGTTTCTAATTGATGGATTTTTTAATTTCTCCAAATTAAAATTCTCAAAATCGAATCGGTTTTCTTTTCTCTTTTTTATATTAAGTTTTTGTCGAAGTTTCGCGATTACTAATTCATGATCCGACCCACATTCTGCTCCGCGATAAGACCGTACATTAATTATACTGCTATGTAGTATCAAGACATGGTCGATTTGATTTCGTGTTTGCGAATCCGGTGATGTCCAAGTATATTTATGAATATCCTTATGTTTAAACGTCGTACTTTTAATTATCAGGTTTTTCGAGATGGCAAAGTTTATCAGACAGATCCCATTATCATTACTATATTCGTGCAAGCTTTCTTTACCAATCGTCGGAATATAAACTTCTTCCCTTCCTACCTTTGCGTTCGCGTCACCTATAATTATTTTCATGTAGTTTCGCGGTAGTTTATCATAAACCCATTCGAGTTTATCGTAAAATTCACTTTTGACTTCATCGTCACTGTCTTCGGTCGGACAATGTATGTTTATTAATGCGATTTTAAACCAACGTCCCTGAAATGTAGCTACCGAAATTCTATCACTAAAGAATTGTACGTCCCTCAAAGCGGATAGTAATCTACTCCTAATTAGAAACCTGGTACCCAAACAATGATTCCCGCTTCCTCCGTACCAAATAGTGTACTTTCCTTCCCTCATCGAGCTCTCCCCTGGCCAGCGAACCTCTTGCAGAGCCACGACATCTAAATTGTACCCATTCACCTCATTCGCGACCGATTTTAGCCCCCCTGCTTGTTTAAACTCCTTACGTTCCACGTACCAATATTTAAATCCCTATATTTCAACTTGTGCCATGAATCCCCTAAAGCAGTCCCCACCCGGAGACCCGAACGGGGGACTAGTTTACTTCCGGATAAAACAGCGTTTTACCTTAGGGAGATCCATGACTATTTGTGGTGTTTGGTGAACTAAAGATATGTGAGTAGGGCGTTCAATCATACGTCACACCCTCCAGCAAGTCTGGTGGGCCCCTACCTCCAGCAAGTCTGGAGGTCCCCTCCCTCCAGCAAGTCTGGAGGTCCCCTCCCTCCAGCAAGTCTGGAGGGCCCCTCTCATTGTTGGTCAGCGAGTCCATCGGACTTAGCCGGGAGGAACTTCCAAGGAATTTCCACCGACCATCCCCACATCCGCCACTCGTGGGACGCTCCCCATACGCGGTAATGAGCCCGCGCGCGCCTAACTTTTTATGAAAAAAAAATTAGGGAAACAGTGTGGGTTTTTACTTCTTAGAAAACTTTAAAGTTGCCAAGCCAAGTTACTAATTTGAGTATACATAATCATTAATACAACCGTAGATACATGATTGTGAAAAAAAATAAAACTCTAAGGAGGGATAAATGATCAAGGTTTTAGGCTTTTCTTAGCCCTGATGAAGGCCTGAACTTCGGGCCAAAACATCAGGAATGTGAAAATAAATACCATTATTTATTTTGACTGATCACCTCAACCATCCTTCTCTTTAATCAAGGTTTTAATTTTATCAAGTTTTTAAATCACATATAAAAAAAATAGTTTCATATGAAGTAGATAAATAAATATTAAATGAACTTAAAATTATAACATAGATGAGGATTTTAATTTACTCAGTTATGGTTATTTCTTAAATTAAATATCCCATTCCTTGAAATATTTGTTTCTTCAGATAAAAAAATATTTTACTACAGAATTAGGATTTGTTGTGCCATATCATCGGGAGTCTAGATCTCTAAAATCTTGAAATCCCAAATCTTAAATATCTCAATCCCTTCCAACCATCCTCACATTGAATTCCTTTTCATTGATATTCATAGCAAAGCATATCCTCTCTTTTTATATGGTGGTGTATCGCCATCCTTTGGTTCCTTTTGACTGATCGTTTGAATCAGCCCTCTACCACTATGTTTTTTTGGTGGTAAGAAGCAACGTAACCATGAAGGCCTATTGTACTCCTTAATTAAAGTTGCTCCTGATAAGAGCATTATTTCCGCAGTATCTACAAGTTGAAGAAGGCTTGTCGGATCGACAAGCTAATTGCCCCTAGGGTTCAGCAATTTATCATTCCCAAACAGAAAAAATCTTAATCCAGCAAACTTGTCCCACCAACAAGTGATATGATATGATATTTCATCCTCCAGGCCACAGAACCTACAGAGAGGAGATTCCGCTAGCCCGAGTTTGAACATATGATAGTTCAGTTTACAGTGACTCATATAGATCGCTGTAATTTGCTTAAGAGAGCTTCTGCTCAAGTTAATTAGCAGATTACTTCTCTTTGCACAGAATCTGTCCAGGAATAATTTATTCGATTGTCCAGAAAATAATGCAGGATTTTGGTTTAAAATGAAAAACGAAAGATTTACAATTGTTTTATTTGATCAGAATAGTCTTCACTACTATCAATACATTTCTGCCAACATGTTGGCAACTTTTCCATTCCCTCGAAAAAGAATTATCCATCATTAGAACTGATAAACTCCAAAAACGCATATTCTAATTCCCTTTGTCCATTAACTTTTTGTTACATAAGTAGTGGTCCAGGTGTCTAAAAAATAATTCGTAGGCAAGAGGTCCGAAGAGTAGGGCAGATGTGGCAGAGTTTCATAAT